ATCAGCTGGAAATATGCATTTGTATCTCGTTCTGAAAAATGGCTGCTAATCTTGTTTGAGTGTATTGTTGGTTTAACACAGCCACTTCATCAGTACTTGCGAGGAGGTATTTTCTGGTTCTAATGCAGTACTTAAGGTCAGATCGCTCCTCCATAAGCCTGCTAACAAGCTTAAAGCCCGTGATTACTGGAAGACGGGGCACGATAGCCCTCACCTTGATCCTTCCTGCGCGGGACGGGCCGCTGATAAAGCCTGACCATTGTTTTCTTGTTGGTAGTCTGGTGACCATCCATCAGGCGACTATAAAAAGGGAATTTTGCGACTTGTTTATGTCCTTCAAATCTAATTGGACCTTGCTGCAGCTCCCGTGGCACGCAATTGCTGGGCAATAAACAACAGAGGCAATGGGCAATTACTTCATATCGCTGGCGGACATGGTAACAGTTATTGGCGCGCAGAGTCCTCCTCTCACCCTAGTTATTCCCAATGGCCGCTGAGTACAATCTGTGGTCTATGCGCCATTGAGAAAAAGGGGGCAGTGACCTGGGATATGAGGATATGATTAAGTACGCCATTAAAGACCTCGAGACAAATCACGGAGGAATGGTGACAGCCAGCGAGCGTTCGCAGCCTGTGTGCACATTGCCGCTGTCAAAGACAAATGTACGTAACTGCGAGTAACTCCTTTTCATGTCCCAGACTCGGGTTGTGTGCAAAGAGAGACGTGTCTGCACAGCTTGTTTGCATAATTGTGCATTTGAATTTGCCAGGATCACACTGAACAAACTAATGATTTGTGTTAGCTCACCCTGACGTGGAATAGAATCATTACTGATTTAATTCAGACTCACCCCAGCGGCAGGTTCATGATGCTTTTTTTCTCTTGTATAATGTTAACTGGAAAGGCAACAGAGCTGTGCACTTAGTTCATTGCTTGCTCCTCTCTTCAGCTCATAATTGTCCGTGACACTCTCCACTTGTGAACGGCCTGCAAACGGGTGTGAGTTTTGAGAATAAATAATAAAACACTTGATACAAAAGTGTAACCAGCCTTACAGTAGAGGAGGCGGTTGCCCTTCAGCCAACGCTCAGGGTAAAAAAGTCAATCACCAATTACACTCAAAACACCAAATAAAAAATCCTGCATTTTCAAAATCCACCCACTCAAAATTGGCACGGGAGAAACTGATGATTCATATTAAAATGTTAGCATGGTTGACCTCATTGTAAAATCTCAGTCTTTAAAGAGTTCTGCAGACACACTGTGGTTTCATCCCACAGCAGAAACACTATCTGTCTCTATATGAAGCTGAGAGGGGGTGCATTGTATTTTTTTAAGCTGAGAGGGGATGCCAGATGCCAAGCATAACTCAAATATCTGCTGAAGCTCAGGCTTAACGACGAGATCATGCAGAAACAGAAACACTGTCAGGCTGTAAGACACACTTATACTCTCTAACATCACAACCAGTCAGAAGAAGATCCTACTCAGTGTTGGAAAGTAACCAAGTACATTTACTCAAGTGTTTTTACTTCCATATTATGCAATTTTTTGCTTCTACTCCACTAAAATTCGATAGCAAATATTGTGCATTTTACTTCCCTACATTAATCGGATGACATTAGTTACTTTGCAGGTTCAAATTATAATTTTGGATAAAGATACATGGCAATATGATAAAGCATTACAAGTTATCTTCACCTTTACAATCCGCAAAATGTAATAGATGTACTAGAACATTAATTTATTAGAATCCAGTGATATCATATATTATTCTGAAAATGTGTATTTTACAAGTAGTAGTAGTGAAATTATGATCTGGTCAACCGCTTAGAGATGTCCCGCCCCTTAGCCTATCACGTACAATGTGTTGGCGCGCTATCCAAAAGAAGCGCAACTGTTATATGTCAATAAAGAGAACGGATTACAGCGTTAGAGGCGGGACGGCGAAATGTCCTCCCTCTCGAGAGCCAAATGATGGTATCTCGACCAATACCAAATAGAGAGGTGCGCACCTGCTTAAGCCCCGCCTCCTATCTGCAGCGTCACGGCTGATCACAGCTCAATCAGAGGTAAAATAACTCTGGATTTGGCTTCTAGCGCATTTTACAACTTTTAGACGCTTTGAAAAGTGTTCATACTGGGCAGTTGAATATCGAACAAAAAATTCTCTCTCACAATGTAAGTCAACGGGAAAAGGTGTTTTTGGTCCCAAATGATGTCACAGACTGACATAGGGATGTCACTATGTTCCTCAAAGTAAAAAAAGACGGCGTGTGGGGGGGGAGAAAGATAGTTTGTTCAATGTGATCCTGGCAAATTCAAATGCACACACAGGGATTCTAGCCTTTGCAGACCATTTACATTCACTAGAAAGCCCAAAAAGCAGAATACCCTTTACGTAACAGTGCTTTTTCCACCGAGACAAAAACACATTTTCTGCATAAATAATATTTTTCTAATCTGTATATCCTTGAATTCAGGTTAAAGCAACCTTTAAAGACTGGATGGTAGTTAACAGGTAATCACATACTGTGACCTCTACTGGTGGCCAACATGAAACACAACACACACACACACACACACACACACACACACACACACACACACACACACACACACACACACACACACACACACACACACACACAGCCTTCCTCTGCCGAGTCCTCATCCCTCACAGCCTGTGTCAGTAATTTACACAGATGATAAAGTCACAATTTCCCAGGAGTCCAGTAAGCTGGTGAATAGAAATTGACTTTGCTGATGGATTATAAATCATTCATAACGCCGTGCTATTCCAAGACGATCCCCCATTATTTACCTTGGAAACAAGACGGTTTGGCTTCAGGAGTCTCTGGTTTAAAACACGTCCTTAATCACAGCTGTGTGGAAAGGTCAGAGGTTTGATATGAAGGGATCACGGCCGCCGAACCAATCAGATGCTCCAGGATCTGTGTGTGTTGTAAGGTAGTAATTCTGTTGCGTTCTCATATCAGAACACTCACTTTGAAGTATGCCAACAAAGCAGTGTGAGGAAATGTCTGCTGTGATCCCACTTAGCCCCAACATCCTGGGGGTGGGGGAGAACTGTGAAGTCAAAACAATACTCTAAACCCAAGATTCAAGAGTCACTAACATCTTTCCCTTCCACATCAGTCATCAGGCATATACATCCTGCTTTTCAAATCATGATTAGATTTGGTCGATGATATCAGTTTTCTTCAACTTCTTCTAAATGATTGTTTAATTGTTTAACCTTGTACAATGGGCTTTGGTTATACTGTGTTTTTGATATGTTCATGCCAAAAAAGCTTCTTTTTCGATCAATTGAATGTTTGAAAATAATTGACAGGAGTTTTTGGGGAGAGTAACACTTTGGGATTTTAGTCTTTGCGAACCATTAACATGCACTAAAACCTTTATTACACACTACAGGAAACAGGAAGCCCCAAAAGTATACATCCTGTATGTTCAACTTCTTCTTGACATGATTGTTTAATTGTTTACTGTTTATCTGTTCACCACCTTGTACAAAGTGCTTTGGTTATACTGTGTCATGCCAATAAAGCTTCTTTGGATTTGGAGTTTGAATATTTTGTTTTAGTTTTGACTCACAATAAGTGTGACTTTGTATTTCTGTGTAGAGCACTTGGTCTGGAGGTTTTAAAGTGCATTATATATCAAGGTGGATTTGATTTAGTTGGATAGAAAGGATATTTACACCTACATTAGAAGACGTGAAAATGAATTAAATGGACTCCACTGGAGCTGAAACAATTAAATATAACAATGTGGATAAACAATTAACTGTACCTATCATATTTCAAGCAAGTTTGGCTGACTTTGCCTTATCCTCTCATATATGGTAGCAGATATTATATATTGTGGTTTTACACATCAAAATCAAACATTTGAAGACACTGGGCTCCGGAAAAATGTTGAATCGATTGACTGAAAATAACTTACAGATGAATCAATAATGATGTATTACGTTCATATAACATCAATGATCATGTATTGAGTTAATCTAAACAAAAAATGTACTACTATTTACCAATCGATTACTCGTCAGGTTTATAAAATACATTCAAACATTGTGTGAATTTAAGTGAATATGAATCTGGTGCTTATGTGATCTGGATTTCGAGAGGCGTTTGCTTCCCTCAAGTTATTAAACGCTGATGTGTTCTCTATATTAATTATAATGACTTTGACAGTTGGTATATCACATATCAAGGTCAGTCTTCTCGAGCATGAAAGATGGCTTTGACATCAGTTGTGATTGTGCGGATTCTAGAGGAGACCACAATGAGAAAGACAATCACATGTAACCTGATTTTAAAGGTTGCCGTTCTGCTGACGAGACAAACTGTCCCACAGACTAATGTCCGTGTAATGAAATACACTCTTCCTTTGTAGAGCCATTACATCAGACTCTCCTTCAAAAACTCACACAGCTTGTTAAATCTGAGCTGTTTCCTCCGAGTCTTTATACACGGCTACAGGCATCATGCACACTTAAAGCATAAGTTAATGTGAAGTTTACTACAAGTCAATTACGGGGTCAGGGGTGTTGCAGTGTGAGAGGCTTGTTAAAGTTACAGCCTAGTAAAGTCTGTCAACACAATAAGCACATACTATATCACACTGTAAGCCAGCACCCTGCTTCATTAGCTCCCTAACAGGCTTTGGAGGCAGCACTCACAACACTGTGGAGAATCGGGCTGATTCCACACTGCTTCATCAAAGAAATTAGGCTACAGGCTGACAGAAATATTCATGAGTCATGCTTCAAATCCGGGGAAGAAAGTCCAACCTATAGCTCAGTGCATGTGGACTAAACACATTCTGGATTTTTGGCATATAAAGCCAGAAAAAAGTGCTTTACTCTAGACAAAAACTGCCTATTTTCGGCCAAAAATCGTACTTTTCAGTCGTGATTATATCTATTTCTGCTGATTATCTCGCTATGAACACGATCAATCCGTTTCCCTACCGTTCAGCTGGTTGTAGACCACGTCCTCCAGCCTCTCCAGCCTCTGCAGAATAGACTGCCTGTCCACCAAGTTGGAAACTTTACCATTCCTGGCTCGCAGCCTCTGGTCGGACATACGCCCCATCTGGATGATCTCCTCGGACCGGTCCTGGATCCTGCAGTACACCGAGAACAGGATAATCCCCACGAACACCAAGATGTTGACGGTCAGCAAAGTTTTGATTTTGCGTGCCACAGCCATGAAAGAGAATAGTGTCCAGGCTGACTCAAGTCAAGCCCAGCAGTTGTCCATGTGCGGTGGCCTGCTTTTTTTTGCCCACCTTCCTGTGTCTTGTTGCGGGAGAAGGATTTTGGGGAGAGAAGGTCAGGACCCGAGGAGCTGCGGGATCCCTTCAGCACCGCGGACAGCGCACTTTTAGCGGGGCATCTCTCCGCCAAATCGACACTGAACCTGGGGGAGGTTGCTCTGCTCCAGCCGGGGATGAGCGACGCTTTTCACGGGAGCCTCAAAGCAAAAGCTGCTCGGTCGTCGCTACATATTACAGGCGAGAAACGACGCCAGGGAAGGCATGCATCCTGTGCAGATCAACATATTTCCTCCGTGTTACGATCCTTAGCCCCAATATGTCTCCATCTTACGGCACATGCACTGCAACAGCCAGTCTTCTCGAAGCATCCTCTCTGCTATCCTCTGCCTCGCGCTGTGATAGCAAAAGCGTTACACGATCCGTCCCGCTCTGCAAATATGAAGTCCAGAGAATATGTGCATGCTTCAAAAACAAGGCGGCGTTTCTCCTCCCTCCCTCCCTCCCCCGCTCTCTCTTTCTCTCTCTCCCCTCTACCTCTCGCTGTGCTCCGTCACTCCATTATTATCATGATTGTTGTGGTTGTTTGACATGGTCTGAGAGCAGATTTCCCCCTCAGATGGTGAGCTGCAGCCGGGCATGCTGTCTCTCCTCCTGCGCGCTCAGTCAGGAGAGGAAGCGGCGTCCTGACGTGCAGAGGCTCCTTCATGAATATTCACTCGCTGTGTCGGGTAAAATAAACAGCAGCTAATACTTCCACTCGGTAGATCAGCGTATCAGTCAGTGAAGTGTGGGGAACAGATTTTTAGCGATTTGATCCGTGATGCGAAGGTTAACAGTCTCCATCTCCACTCCTAATGCTATTGCCAGCAGCGGCTTAAAGCTTTAGTGCTTCACATATATGGAATTACATTTGCAAGCTGTTCAACTGGCCCTGCAACACATGCATGGTCAACCTCAGGAGTGAAATCACCATCTCACTAATCACATGCTTGGGGGGAGCTTTAACTCCATCACATTAAAAGAAACAAACACTGCACTGAGTAAATAACCTATTTTTAATCAAGTCCATTGGGGGAAGAGGTAGCATTGCTTTGTGTTTGTATTTATTTATTTTTAGTACAGGCAAGAGTTACAAATAGAGGACACAGCGGTACGATGAGAGGATAATTACAGCTCACACACACAATAATCAAACAACAAAAGGTTTCACATATCGCGCTCCGAAACCATTGAGCGTTTTTTAAAGTAAAGGTAACATGTTGAAGTCTATCCTTTGAGTTACTGGAAGCCAGTGCAGAGCTCTGAGCTCTGGGGGAATGTGTTCTGGGCGGCAGCAATCTGGAAGAGTTGCAGTTGTCTGATCTACTTTTTTGGAGAGACCAGTGAAGACAGTTGCAATTATCAACCCTGCTAAAAACAAAGGCATGGACCAGTTACTCTATTCCACATGTGTCAAACTCAAGGCCCGGGGGCCAAATCAGGCCCGTGGTGGATTTAATTTCGGCCCGCAGGATCATTTCTAATTCCTATTAGATCTGGCCCGCCGGTATATTGCACCTTCACTCCACCCTGAGGGTCTCCTCAGCTCAGAGCCTGAGCCCAAACATTGATGACCTTTCACCCAAGATGAGATGCCAAGTATTTGCTTGAACTAGCATCACCGAGCAGCACACTGAGTTTAATGGATGTTTCCTTCTGCACTTTTTTTCTCACGACAACAGGGCATGTTTGGTTTTCTCTTTGACGGAAATAGTTTTTTTTAAGCTGTTGTTGGCCTGTGGGAAAATGTAATCATAAGAAATGACTCTGGAAAGCTGCAGATAGAGCCATAAGAAATGAATGCAACTGATTATTTAATGTTTAATGTTGTTTTTATAGGCACTAATTTAAGCTTTGTTAGTTCCAGGTTTAATTTGTGCAATAAGTTCATTTCAATAAGTTTCGCAATAAACATTGAACCAGTCCGGCCCTCGACTAGTACACACTTTTTTATTTTGGCCCACTGTGTATTTGAGTTTGACACCCCTGCTCTAGATCAAGTTGAAGCATGAGTGTTTTCAGTCTGGCTGTGTGGTCGACAGTCCAACAACCAAAAACACACAAAGCATATTTATTCTTCCATATATTTCCAGTCTTTATTAGAGCTAATGTTGCCCCATTTCATCTTGCATTGCGTCACCTTGTAATGGTTTGTAGCAGTAACCTACTCCCAGTGTATTTAGATTGCTTTATATTTCTATTCGACACACATTCAGCAAAGAAGTCAAGCTTTTCCACAGAAAGAAATCTGCCTCACATTGCAGCCCACGCTGGTCTCTGAAGTGCAGCAGGAACTCTACGACGAAAAGCAAATATCTTTAAGGACATTGGGGATAAAGAGCATAGCCACGCAGTGATGATTTAAAACGCTTCAAATCACTCATCTCAAATTCCAAATGAATTAGTAAATCACGCACCAAGGCATCTAGCCTCTCTTATAGGCAAACCCAGACATGGCACAGGCTACCCGAAGCACTTTGATCCCACCTCACACCCACCCATCTCAGGTTCTCATTTTCTTTGCTGCTCCTGACTGTAACTGTCAGAACACTTTATAGTGTGTGCAGTTGTTCATCAGAGGACATCCGGGGCAAACGTAATCTTGTAATCATCCTCGTGCCTCTTTGATAATGCCTCGATGGTTCGTCTTTAAGATGAAATCAATTCTGCTTTTCTGAGAACGGGTTGAAGAGCCTTCAGCTTTAATCCTCTCTGAAATCACAGGTAGAGGGAAGTGGTGCACTTTGATAATGGTGCACATCGTTAAGTGTGCTCTGAAAAGTGCACAACCACATTATCAAGACCAAACGTTAAAATGAGAGATCCTGTGGTTGCTATTTTCCACAAAGTCCCTGCAATCACACAGTAAATGAGGCTTTTATGTTGAACACTATATGACGTTACACCACTTTTAACTTCACCCTTTTAATAATCGTACCCCATGTGCTTCCTCTCCGTGTTTAGCTCTGTATGACAATTCATAACGGGCTTTGTAATGAGATTTTAATTAGCATTCCTGCAGCACATCACAAAAAGTTGCTGATTTAATCCAAGGTCTGCAGAAACACACAGACTTTGGGGAAATCTTTATTACAGTCACCATGCACAGCTGCTTATACAGCAGCTACAGTCTCACACAACTCTGAAACTTCTGCTGTGTTTCTCTGCATTCAGCACCCGGCTGCAGACACTGGCACTCAAGTGTTTTAACCATATTAACCTGGGTCACTGCCAGTGCACCTTACTCATCTCACTGAGTGTTTCTGCATAAGCTACTCCAACAGATTCAGTGGGAGGATGTGGAGGACTGTGGGCATCTGGTGCTGCTGCAAATATCTACAGCCAAGGATTCATCAGATCGGAGCTCACAGGAAATATGAAGTTGTAGCTTCCACTGTGACTACCCTGCAAAGTGTAGTCACTCCAAATGTAGGTATGGATATGTTTGCTCCACATTAACTGCACATATAATAATAATACATTTGATTTTAAGCGCACTTTTCATTTGAGTAAACAAAATTCAAAGTGCTACAGAGTCAAATGGTTGAAACAAAACCACATAAATGAAAACAGTGCCGTGATACGAGTGTGTTAATAATGTCAAAAGATGCAACTGAAGTAGTTTTTCCCGTCAAAAGTCATGCTAGTTAAACTTAAGTCTGTATTTTTCTATAATTGAAAGAAAAAATCCAACAGCGCTTGTAGATAAATCTGAAATGCTCCTTTAGCATTCAAGTTGCCCTGTTATCTTTAACTTAAAAGCAAAGGACGAACACATCTTGACATTTGTTATTCAGTTATTTAAGATATGATCGCTAACTAGCTAATTTGCTATCTTGTATGAACATTTAAAAATAGCATTTAACTGTTTTACCAGTGGATGTTCGCTAGCTTTTACTGAAATGTGGCGGACATCCAACACAGTCTCACGGAATTTCGTGTTCATCAACACGATTTTCCCCTTTTTTTCGTGTTGCACAGCACGATTTTAAAAGCAATGTAAATGTTAACAAATTAGAAGGAAAAACAGATTTAAAAAAATACAGATTTTAGTATTCTGACACAGAACGATTTTAGAAGCAATGTATTTCTATTGGTACTACATG